TTTCGATTTTCTCAGTCGTCCTTCAATATTTTTGATCCGGGTTTTTTTCATTGTGTTCCTCATAAAAAAGTAGGGTAGCGTATTCCTTATTTTTGCGATTCTGGCACTACACTTTTAGGATTTGCTTCAAAATTTTGTATACAGGTAGCAAAGAGTGTGCTAATAGTGTTAGCCTTTTGCCGTCAGAGAGTATTTTGACCCACTTTTGAGATATGGTGTCCGTAAAGTAAGTCAAAATAAAATGAGTTATGAATTAAGGGTAGAATTTTCTCAGGAATCCAAATCTGCAAACCAAATTTCAATCCGACTTCTGGTCAAAAATTCCTACTTACCTACCTACTTACCTACTCGGCTACCTACTTAGCTACCTACTCAGCTACCTACTCAGCTACTTACTCAGCTACCTACTCAGCTACTTACTCAGCTACCTGCTCAGCTACCTACTCAGCTACTTACTCAATTACTTAATCATCTACTTACTCAGCTTCCTACTCAGTTACTTACTTAGCTCTTTACTCAAGTAAATCAATCTGGAGTCTTAAATTGAACTTGTTCAATTTACATGTCTAGTTATTTTAACAATTGAACGAAGTTTAAATTAATGAAATATAAAAAAAAGTTATTGTTGGGAAATTACTATTATTTAATGTTATTATAGGGGAGAAAATACATTATTTTTCCCATTGAAATACAATGAAAAGGTCAATTTAAGGGGATATCTGAGAGTGATTTTTAGTGTTTTGGGTATGATTTTGTTTTGGCTGTAAAAAATATTCGAGCACGGTGACCCTAATTTTTTTTGGTCTCATTCTTCTCAGAATTGAACAAAGTTTCACATATAAAAAAATAAAAAAATTTATTGTTGGCATCATTTACGCAACCTCTTAAGGTTTGCAAAGCATGGTGCTTTCCAGATATTATATTGTTCATCACAATAGTTTTAGAAGATCGTATGATTTTTGTAGTCCGGTCGTGTATTCTTGTGATAATCACGGAATTTTTGTATTTTGTGACCAACAATGTCGCATATTACGACAGTTTATTAAGGAAGGAAGTTTCATTAACTTTCTGAGTTACGTGTTTTGCCAAAAGGCAATGTTATGGTTACAGTGCAAGTCTGTAGACAGTGATTTAGATTATTGTTATGTATTAATGACAGTGCGTGATTACTGTATTAGATAGTGAGGCATGTTTCTCACAGATTTTGCATAGTGCTAGAAGGCACTATATACATGTATGGTCCTTATACAATATTGCAAGTTGACAGAAAGTCACAATTTAGAATTGGTTTATTTCGAAATTTGTGAATTAATTTGAGATCTTGGACGTGTTAACAAACGTGTAGCCACAATGGTTTTAATGACAGTTGATCATTAGATATGGGTGGGTTGTTGGATTTAGATGTTTTAATTAGACACACGGTGCCTTATTGATGCCTTGAAGGCAGTTAAACATCGTAAATCAGCAGCGAGGTTGGGAGCCAAGGACGGATGTTGGGTATATTTGAACCTAAGAGGTTTCTGGCATTAATGCCATCGGCATCGTGGCCGCTATGACATTGGCATCGTGGCCGTCATAGGTACCTGGATGCATCGCGGCCTGGCTACATTTTTTTTTTCACTCATTCTTTGTATCAGTATTCCAATAAACGCGGGCTGTTGGCTCGAATTTAATCCTATAATATATGTGATATTATGTTATGTGGTTTGTGGTGAAGACTGTTTAATTAGGAAATAATGAGCATTAATTTCCATTATTACCACCTTGCCGGGCCAGTTCTAGGGGTTTTAGTGCTAGTTTAGAAGGCGTTTATTTTACTATATCGACCTGAGAAATGTGTGACGTCATAGTGGTGGTCCATATGGACCGGTCTAGAATATATTCTGGACCGGCAATTTTCCCCGGGAAATTAGATATCGTTCAATGCGTTAGATTTTCTTGCTGTTTCAGTCCTGGTCATTGACGGTGGTAATAATACTAATAACGTAACGTATCGCCCTTAGAAATGACGTTATTCTACTAATACATGTACATAGGGGAGAGCGGGGTAAGACGGAACAAAGGGTAAGACGGAACGATGGCTTTTAAAGAGAAACTGTTTAAAAATGGTCGCTGAAGTTAACTTTTTTTGAAAATATATCACGTAATCTTTCTTTTCAACTGCCAATTCCTCGTCGGCTGCAAGTAATATTTTTAATAAGGGTAGATATATCATCTTTTATCCATTCTTATAACATTTTATACGGTTTTGATCGCCCGTAGAATCAAAAAATACGTGTAATACATAGAAAATTATATATTTCTAAATAGATAATTTAAAAACCTGTATTCTAAGAAAAATAATAGCTTTTAGCTGTCTCATTTTGATAGCAGACGACATTTTGTAGATTCACGTGGATTCAGTTGCTAGTATGACCCGTGATTAAGTTCACTAAGGTCAAGGTCATTCCAAGGTCAAAGATCAGTATCTAGGTATTTTACTTTTTAATACCTAGGGGCTGCTGTTACCCTTGGCAACTCATGATAACGTGACCTGAAGTCAAGGTCAAGGTTTATGAGTCAAAGTCATCTCAAGGTCAAAGGTCAATATTTAAGTTTTTGGCGTTTCAAGGACCTTGGAGGGTGCTGTGACACTTGGCGAACCATGATTAGGTGACCTGAGGTCAATGTCATTCCACTAATTTGGAAACTCTTCATGTGTTAATGCAAAGAGAAGACGTTTCCCACCTAGTGTTGATCTGTGTATGAGCATAGTCGACGGGTACATCATTGTGTTAACTTTTCTTAAACATAAAATATATTTAACATTGTACCATCTTTAATGGGTAGCATTAGCAAGTGCTTTTTCGAAAATCGTTCCATATTGGTTATGTTACAAAAACACTGTCACGTGTGCTACTGAACTTAAAATAAAAGTATATGAAAAAAACATCAAATCGAAGCATTTTATTTAGATTTCCTTCAGATAATATCAACCGTTCCGTCTTACCCCACCTGTTCCGTCTTAGCCACGCCTGGTAAAGTTGACCCTGTTGACACGGGAGATGGTTTTGATATGAAATAGTCTGTATAGATAATATAGATTAATTTTAAAATCATTTTCGGTAGCTCTACATTGTAAAATATCATAAATATTTTCAAGGAAACCCATGTTTAATGAACAATAGCCTATCAAAGATATGTGTCGATTTTCGTTCCGTCTTACTCCACTCTCAACTACATGCCATACATCTACAAAGGAGCAAACTAGTGTTTTAGGTACTACTTTTCCTGATATTTAAATCAGATATTTATAGCAAAATTCAAAGATTAGCACGCGTTAGCGTGAACTTATCGCAGTGGACAGTCATATCCTGGATGAAAATCTGGGTCGTGAGAATCTCGGTCAGAATCCGTAGCCCACGGTGACGTCATTTTTCACTTTGTATTCCACGGTAAGTGGACAGTGCGTGTAAATTCCAAATTTATTTAAGTCAAATGGACAAATCAGATTGCAGGGAGCTTCTCCATCATTGAATAAACACTCGTGCTACATAAAACGATACACAATACTTGTTGATTTGAAAACATTCAATCGATAGAACAAATGCCAATTGCGAAAGTTAGAGCGCATGGTTTCAGAAATTTCTTAACCCCGAGAGTGATTTTGAAACCCGGTAGAATCTATCTTTATTTTTAATCGTCCACAATACATATGATTGGTCTAGCTATTTTTATATTACACACTTATGTTGATCTATCAAGACATTTTTGGCAATATGAGTCATTATATACAATAGAATAATAAAATTGCCATTTGATTCATAATCTTCGACGTTTTTTCAGGACGGTGAATTTTCATAAATATTTTTAGATACCTTTGGTGTCCCATAAAATTATGATTTTTTAAAGAGAATTTGAGTTGTGAATTGTTTTATTCTAAAAATGCATTTCCTAATTGAAACCAATGTTAAATTCAAATATTTTCTAGAAATAACCAAACGGTCAATCACAATTTTCACATTTTACATCAGTATACCCTTCACTTAGATTTTTTCAAGAAAATGTGAATTGTAGAAAAAAGTTGATCGACAGTGAAGTTCTCCCTTAACTTACCAACATCGCATTCCGTACCCCCATATCCAGGAGTGCACGTACAAATGTAACCATTAACTCCATCAACACAGCTTCCACCATTTTGGCATGGATTACTAGAACACTCGTCTATATCTGAAAAATCATGAAATAAGAGCATTTTTTCAGAATATATGGATCGCCCCTTGTATAATTCTGTTCGTGAAAAACAAGCATTACTTGATGAGATTCTCAGACCTTACCTGATTGGTGCTATATTAGATTAATAGTAAATCTGATACAATAATTGCTAGTATGAGCCTTTGACACCATGACGGTAATTTAAAGTTGCTGGTGAGACTCCTCCTGTTTTAGCTATTCATTTTACTAACTACCATATGCAGCAATTTAGCGTAATTAGTGAAAATGCTCATATTTTAGCCATTCAGTTTACTGAACTTACCAATATCACATTCCACACCCTCATATCCAGGAACACAGGCACATTGGTAACCATTGAATCCATCCATACAACTTCCACCATTTTGGCATGGATTACTAGAACACTCGTCTATATCTTTAAGTACACGAGAACGCTAACTACCAGACGCAGCAATTTAGCGTAATTAGTGAAAATGCTCATATTTTAGCCATTCATTTTACTGAACTTACCAATATCACATTTCGCACCCCCATATCCAGGAACACAGGCACATTGGTAACCATTGAATCCATCCATACAACTTCCACCATTTTGGCATGGATTACTAAAGCACTCGTCTATATCTGTAAATACATAGTCGATGTGAACATAGATTCTGAGACTAGCCCGACAATGCCATCGGGAGCCAAAATGTTCAGTTTAACTTATAAACTTAACAGCAAAGTGATAAGACTCGACCTAATATTTTGAGGGTTTCCATGATGTCAGCTTTCCATGAAACAATGTTTTCTGTCAAGTTAGATAGTTTTCGATTAATTGTACTAAGGGTTTTACCTTCAAATAGAGTAAAACAAATACCGTTAATCATTAAAATGAAAACTTTAACCCATGTACTCGAAGCTCGTGATCGTTTTGGTTTTCACAAAACCATTGAGTTAAGTGATAAGGTGGGGAATATTAATCCTTTGAATTTCCAATAATGAAAATGTATTCAAAGTCTTAATGTAAATCAACTATAGAAATAATGTTATTGAAATTAAATACAAAGCCTACAGGCCCGAAGCCAAAAGGGGGATTCAGAGGGTTCGATCACCCCCCCCCCTTCCCCCCCCCCCCCCGGCTAAACATTCAAAATCACGCTGCAGTTTTTCAAAATTCTTGGCACTTTTCAAGTGATTTTAGCCATTTTAGGGCCAAAATTGTCAAAAATGAACCCCCTGGAATTTTTCCAAAAGTGCCCCCCCTGGCAAATCCTGGATACGGGTCTGAACTATTCAAAATCTGGAGCATTACCTTGAAAAACGCCTACACTGGTGAGTCCAATGATAATACATTGCACCATCAGGATAACGATAACTGCACCTGCTACGAAGATCTTCCACTCGCATTTCAAGAGAAACGATTTCTCATTTTGCCGTTTTGGTAGATTCGCATAGGTAGGATTATTGTTAATTTCCTCTTGATTCCGCTCATCCAAAGTTGCATACACATCCATGTTGAAATCACCAGGTTCAGTGTCACTAGCATTTTGCTTAGAACGGGCTTCCAAGTTGATGTTAGTGATGTCATCAGTGTTAGGGGCTAACGGAAGAGGTGTGTTCGGATTTTTAGACATTTTCGTGCTGGACTGTCAGGAAATATCTATTATTAAGACAACAAAAGTTGTGGGCAAAATTTACAAGTCACTCTATGCAAGAAAAACAGTTTAGTCAGTAATATAATGTCGTCATGAAGCAATACACCAATCCCCCTCCACCTTTCGGACCTATTATCATAATCCAAAGTATACAAGATCACTGAACAATTTCTTTAGAACAGACAAAAACAATACAGTCTCGAAAATATATTATACAAACAATACATCTCTGTAGCGAACTTGAAACAACTTATCACTGGTGATCCACTTGATTACGCTGGTTACCGAATCGGTTAACAAAATGTCGGAACATCGAAGGTACGATTTTTCTTTTTTCCCTATTTCACACGTTGTAGGCAGAATTCCCACGACACAAACGTGTATCAGTATCATATGTATAAGAAAATGTACACATTTGCGAACAAATGAATACTAGTAGCAATTAAAAAATGCAATTAGGAATTCAATAAAAATTATTTTTTATCTCACCTGTTACAATCCAATATGATTTTTAGTCCGCCACTTGCGAATGGATCAGTCTTAAACTACTTAATGTGTTCCACTTATTTAAACATGAATTCCCCATTTTACAAAAAAAGAATATCTAGCATGCAATATGAAAAGATTGAATTGAATGCTTTCAGATAAAGTGATGTTCGGTGGAGAACTATTCACTAATGCTATTCGCTCTGCCAATCACATTGCACCTTTTGAACTTCCTTGTTTATCGCTATTTCTATTTTTTAAATACACTTAGTGATATAACGTAAAGGGTTTTATTTGGCAAACAACGTGCTTTGAGTTTAACAATAATGACTCCATTTTATCTAAATTTTTATCTATTAAATGCATGTAAATATACATAGCCTACATTATTTGATATATTATTGCCTGTTGTTGCCATCATGCATTTCAAGTCTTATTACATTAGATAAGGAATATCTCTGCCCTAATACTTAGTTAAGGTACCCAGGATAATATTATGAGCGATTCTTAAATGCCATAAACAAACTTGCCAACCTCCCGTTTTTACGTGAATTTCCCGTACATTTTTTTCTAAACTCGTTTTTCATGTGAAAAGGGCCGTAAAATCTATTTTTGCTGTCAAAATCGACCGTATATTTAAAGTGAATTTGACAAATCTGTGACCTTGATTATCGTACTTCTTTCTTTTACTCTCAGTTTCGCGGCCAGGAAAATATATAAGTCTATTTGGGCATGCACGGCCTTAAGAGAGCACTTGCTCATAATTGTTCACGTGAATATATGCTACAATTTGGTTTTATGCAGTACAGTTATTTTTCTGTACATTCTCTCTCTGATCCGTTTAACTTAACATTTAAAATTGTTGTTCATCACAGTAATGTTGATCACCATCATTGGTTACTATAGCTGTTAGGTGATTTGCCTGTGGTCGTTAAGCTTATATTTTGTGATGTTTTTATATCACACGATTATTTTTCTGTACAATATTTTCTGTCTACAATCTGAAGTACTGTTTCCAGCAAAATAATGTTGATGTTTTAACCAATATTGTTTTGAACTATTTTAGATTAAATTGTTCTTTACAATAAAGTATATGCCCCATACAAAACAGTTTATGTTCTGTACCAAGACATTTTCCGTACAATAAATTGCTATTTTTCACAAAATGAAGAGTTGGTACTTTGTAGGGCTCCGTCGAAACTAGAAAGTCTTTTTCAATACACCCTTCGAAAGGAGATATTGTCAGTATTAAACTTAAATAGGGGATATTTGTGAACTTATATTTAATGATGGTACCCAGGATAATATTGCGAGCGTTTCATCTTGTTATTTACTACTAGTATACCATAATGTCGGAACACTGTATCAACGTTTATATTCGATTGATAACGTTACATTTGTGTTGTAAGGTGTTCATCGTCGCATAATGATGTATGGATTAATTATTCTTCATAGCAGTCGTGGCTTACGTCAGTTGTAGTTGTTCGCATGAAGTCCTTAACCATTATGATTATAACCTTTCGTTATGCATGGCACGGTCACGGTTGGTCTCCATGCTCAATCACAACGTTTGGACATGTCCGCATCTTGATGAAGCTATATACTAGTCATTGACAATATTATTTGGTTTTGGACGAATGGGTTTAGATGATTGAGATTCGGACCTTTCGGATTCGGACGAATAGGATTCGGACTGCTAGGATTCAGATCAATGGTGTGTCTTCACTAACCATTATGGTTATAAGGTTGCGTTGTACATAGCATCGTCGGTTCCAACACTCAATCACTAACTCGGGACATGTCCGAAGCTTGATGATTCTATATAATAGAATGTACGTTTTGTTGAAAAGCTCAGTGTTCTGGAATCGCTTGTCTAACATCAGAATTTGAACTGAAACACAATGACAAAACAAAATTCAATTTGATATTTAAATATTTTAGATTGATCGATTCATGTTTTGATTTTCGTTGATTTTCTATTCCAAAAAATGTTATCTTCATTAAATTCATTTTACCCAATTTTACAACTGGCCGATTGAAAATAAGAAAGTGTTGACAGTGGTCAGCATAAGGATAAATGTCATTATTTGTCATTATGAAAGACAAGAAAACGAAGTACAATACGTATATGTAATCCTAATACTGGTCAGGTTTAATGTTCTCAATCAGCGTAGTATCTGTCAGACACAATTCCTTCCTCTGTGTTAAATACCTACTTATTGCAACTATTGTTCAGTGAAATGTCTTGAAATAACGTTATTTACATATGATTGTTTTAATTTTAGTGGAGATTTGTATTTTATGCATTATAATATTCATGTAATAGTGTAGTAGAATCTAATGCTTATTGTCATTATGTTATATTTACCTTATTCCCTGTATGTGATAGTGAATAATTGTCCATTGTAATCCCCAACCAATAGCTGCCCTGCTTGATTGATAGAAACAGCAAATGGTAGGAAAACACCATCACTCGCTGTTAGGAGGTAACTATGGAATATGCCATCAGGGGTAAGCAGATGAATCCTGCTGTTTACGCTATCTGCTACCACGATGTAGTCCCTTGCGTCTGTGACGACACCAAGGGGATCATTCAACCGCTCCTCCCTTGATCCACGTGTACCGTAAGTGAATAGGACATTACCAGATTGATTCAACCCCTTTATAGAATGTCCGTAATAGTCGCTAACTATAACAATACTTTTGCTGTTTGTTGTCACATAGAAAGGAAGTGCAAACAAACCAGAAGCAGATATTGGTGTTGCAACCCCACTATAGGAATCAACACTATACACTCTCTTTGTAGTTTCATCGCATACGACTAACTGACCAGTAGATAGTGTAGTAATACCAAATAGTTCAGATAGAGACCCTTTGACGGTTATGTTGCGTATGGGATTGCCGTCTGCTGTATAGAAGTAGATTGTTCTAGAATAGTCAGTGAATACTAGATGGTCATCACTTGAAACTGTAACATACCAGAAATATTTGCCGATATCTTTGATTAGAGTATAATTGGTGTCGTATATCTTTGTGGTGGAGGACGCTTAATCCGTTGCCACAATATGTCCACTTGGTGTTACAGCAAGATCAACTATGAAGCTTGACTGCAGCTGTATCTTTTCAACAATTGGTTTGCTTTTTAATTCCCCGACGGTGACTGTAATTACATGAGAATATAAATATTATTTACATTTTTGTTCGGCTCTGGACCAATTAACCCATAGTTAATACGTTTACTATTTTAACCTCTTATGATATCTAAATCTAAATAAATAAAATATGAAGATAAGTAGAAAATAATAACAACAAATCGCGGAATCGGAAAGGATTGGCATGAATATGGTGAACTAAATTGGCCACATTTCTCTAAACCAGTCATAAAAATATGAACATTTTACACATCGTCAATGCAATGGTTTAATACTTTTTTAGCTTCATAAATAACATAACTTTAATTGAGAATATTTAGTTAGAAACAGAAAAGATTTATGTTTTTATTAATTTGTTTAATGAAGCTGTTTCACACAGTTTTGGGCCCCTTGTAACGAGACCAAGGATACCACAGGCACCTCATTGTTTGATAAGTAATGTGTACATTTTTGCTCAAACCCCCTCAGCACTTTTGATTTTATAGGGTTCTCTTGACCCCTTGGGTTATTATATTTTGTGACAATCTATTCCAATCTAAATGTAGTTATTTTGTCATTAAAATAACATTAGAGAATTAGAGAAACGTTCAGGAAAAGTTGCGCTATCCACAAGACTTCTTGTCACTGCACTGATAAATGTAGCAAAATAGGCAAAATAATTCAGCCTTGAGCATGCAAAATTTATTTTTTTGACAAATTTTGGGCTATTTTGGAGATTTTTGCCCGTAACGATACTGATCTACTTAAAACAGTTGCTTGAAGTTGTACAAATTGCACAGTATCCAAGAGGTTTATTCATAAAAAGAGCTTGGGTGCCAGCTTATTTTTCACGAATAGACAAAAAGACAAGTAAAGATATAAATGTCATTTATATAATTCATAAAGCAAGCTTATTTTCACTCAACACCATGTCAATGACAAAAAGAATGAGTAAAATTATACAGGATGAGCCAAAAAGGTAACCCAAACAAATCTTAATAAAGCCAGTTTAAAGTCATATTTGGCCCAATTGAACCTTGTTCAGTGTGCTTTCATTGTTTCATTGGTCATTTCATTGTTTCATTGGTGTATTCCAAATGGTCACGATTTTATGTTCATTTTACAAAACATGCTCACTGCCATTTTGCTTTTAGAGGCAAACCTGAACGCTTCAGTTGAAATCTTATTTAATGGCTCTCATCTCTTGTTTCAACACCCTGATGGTGCTTCTTGCTAGGATTATTAATGTACAAATTATTTTGAATTTGCATAAAATATGAAATTCCAGCTGGGTTTCATATTCGGTGTTTTGGTATGTTTTGGCATATAAGGGCACGTTTTGTAAAATGCCCATAAAATCGCGATCATCATTATACATGTAGACT